ATATAAATCCAATTAAGTTGAGTTAGAAAAAAATTTTTTAGCTTTCCGCAAAAGTCTGTTCGATTAACACAAATATTAGTTATGGTATTTTGCCATTGCATACGAGTTAATTCTATAAAAACAAATATTGATTATTTAAAAATCAAAAATCAAATCTAACCTTGTGTAAATTGTCCTTCAAGTAATCCAGCTGAATAAACTTGATCAATATTTGTTTGGTTTTCTGCTGTTTTTATTTCTAATACGGACCAACCAGTTATATTATAAGTTTGATCCCAAGATCCAGTTGCTAAAACATTATCAGAATTACCATCGGGTTCTTTATAAGAATCTGCTAATGTTGTCACTATTTCATATTTTCCATTGATTTTTAAAATATGACCGCGAAATCGATGAAGAAATAGATCATCATTTGCTAATGCTAAAGTAAGCGTGCTAAACACAGCAAACACTAAACACTGAGCAAACATGTTTTAATCTGAATGAAAGAAAGTGAGTTGAATGTTAACTGTTGATATATAGATTGTTAGTGTAAATAGATAAGAACAGAAAGATTAGACTGCTATTCGAACTTTGCTCGAGTAGAGAAGACAGGTGACTGCACGAGTTTCGAAAACTTCAGAATACGATTGCTTTTCTAGTTATTCAATGTAAGCGATGAAAATATTTTCTAAACGTTCGAGACTCCGTTATGGATGAGTTTAAATTACACAATAAAATAGAAGGTTTGCAAAACTACTTTAGATTCTGCATGAGAATAGAAAAACCGTGGAAGATTTCGCCTAATAGTGTTGAGGCATACCCAGTTCATTGATCAATACTACTGAACCAAATGAGTTCTGTTCAGTAACACAGAAGTCTACAGGGTTCTGCCTGAGAGTATTGAACCTTACGCATTCCTCTCATCAATGATAACCGCAAGATTGTTATTTGTTTTATTTATTTGAAATATGAAGATGGAATGAATTTGTTTTCTACTCATTTAATTGATTAAACTTGTTTAGTTGTCATTTGTTTCTTACAATGGAGGTATGTGTACTGTAACATAGCTCCACAATGCATTTTCATATAAAATTAGAGCGCTCACTGCCAAACTCCCAAATTCTAAATATGGCATGCTGACGAAAGACTTAGATCCGAAATAGTCGAATTACAAGACATATACAGGATGCGTAAAAATGTTTTTCCAGAGGATAACACTATGATTTCAAATAGCATACATAACTATTTTAATACCGAATAAAAGCGCGTCACAAATGGGATTTATTGGTACTAAATAGTAAGAGTTACCAAGCCCTTCTAATGTCGAACATAGGAAATTTTCCGAAATTTGATGCTTCTTTGACATAGAAAAATCGAGGCGCTACTTATTCAAACATAGATTAAAACATTTTCTTTTGATATTTTTATATGGTTTGATAGAGCTCGTCGAGCTCTACAAAACTATATTTATTAAAACTTTCTTGAGCAATTTTTCTGTGTTAAACAGTTTAAAAAACCACTTGGAAAATCCTTAAAATAATGTCAAATAACTTACTTTTTATGAACAAGCAGCCGTGGCCGGTTTTGTCCTTGCTTAAGGAACTCATTAGACGGCATGTCCAAATTCGTCATTATCAATTAATGATAATAACGAAACTGTTTAATCTATCCCTATCAAAGATAGAGAAGACACAGTGTTAAGTATGGATATTCAGTATGAACAAGCAGCCGTCTGATGAGTCCCTTAAACCAGGACGAAACCGGTCATGGGTGCTTGTTCATATTGATCATTTTGCTCGTTTTTTTCTTGATGAGAATAATCCACGGAAATTCGATGGATTAATTAGAAATAAAAACAATCAATTTCTTATTTTTAAATATTTTTGATTTTGTTATCATTATGTTGGACCATTGATCTATCATTATTAAGAGAGTATTTCTATACGGACGGAGGATTGCTGTGACACATAAAATTTTTGATTTTTGATTCTTTATGTGCATTCGAT